CCAGCGTGGGAGTGTTGAGAGGCCAAAGCCCAGCACGTGCCCAGGACCAGCCCAGCCTCTCTGGGTGTCCCCGGCCCGTTAGGCCACACTGCACCCCAAACATTTCACGGCTGATTCATTCATCCATCCACGTGCCGGGGAGAGGGAACCCTTCTTACACTTTGACAAAGAAAAACCGCAGCAGCACGAAGGTATTTAAATAGCTCCACTTCCCACGTTCAAGAACTACCCTGCAACTGCAGGGAGCTGTCAGAGCCTGGGGAATGAAGAGGGAGGGGAGCTGAGTGCATGTGAGCTTCAGGGATCATCAGCCAGAATGTCTGCCTGGGGGCCACGGGAAGAAAACGGGTGAACTCTCTGGTCTGGCGGTCAAACACAAGCAAGACAAAACGCACCGGGGGGGCCCCTCATTTTTAGTTTTTAAAGGGGACGTGCCAGTCACAGGCCCTGGGCTAGGGGCACCACAGCTGCAGCGTGGAATGTGCACAAGGCTAATCACAGGGCTTCAGAGAACAGAAGCAACACGCACCGCTATTGGGGAGAAACACACACACCAGACACACATACATGCACACACACACGCATGCACACACGCACGCATGCACATGGGGACCGCTTCTGAACGCCTCCCCAGGAGGCTGGGGTGGAGAGGTGGAGTGCGCAGGCATGGCTAGCCCCAGCTGTCACTTTCCCAGTCATTCTGCACGGGCCCCAATCAAATGGCTAGATCTGTGAGTAAAGAGAAAGCTTATTTTAAATGGAATGAACCCATGGGTTTAGTGTGGGATTTTGGATAATGTGAAACTCTTAGAGAAATGCCACTAAGACAAGGGGGAGCAGTAAAAATGTGCTTTCAATTGTTGACAGATACAAAATAAGATACACCTACTTTCAGGAAAACTTTTACTGTAGAAATCAGAAGCAAGCCTGGATTAAATGTTGAAATAGTCATTTTGGAGACTGAGTTCCGGAATGACAGCACTCCAAGATCTCCTCACTCAGAGTTCAGGGGAAATGACTAATCCCCGAAGTTTACGGTGTGGGAGGGCTTCCTGACGGTTTAATAAGTTTATAATTTTTATTCAAAAAGAAACACTCTGAGCTCTTCAAGTGTTATAGGTGGTTTCAAAGCAGAAAGCTGTATCAAAACGGGATGTTACATTTTGCATGAATTTTGAAAATCTCATAGTCTTTACATAAAGTCAGGGGGAATGAGGCTGAATTGAAAAGTTTACGGGTAAACAAACAAAAAACTCTAAAATTACAATTTACCCTGTGGATTATATTCTTGGGAGACACATAAGATACTTCTTTTATAAAGTTGAGAAGCTGTTTAAAGTTTTAACACTAGTAAGGAACAAACCCTGGCCGGTTTGGCTCAGTGGATACAGCGTCGGCCTGTGGACTGGAGGGTCCCAGGTTCGATTCCAGTCAAGGGCACATGCCCGGGTTGCGGGCTCGATCCCCAGTTGGGGGCATGCAGGAGGCAGCCCATCCATGATTCTCTCTCATCATTGGTATTTCTATCTCTCTCTCCCTTCCTCTCTGAAATCAATAGAAATATATTTAAAAACAATAATAATAATAATAATAAGGAACAATTTATTGAGTGTTTGCTGTTTGCAGGCCTTAGCTTGGGATCAACTTGCGAAGTTACAGGCGGTGCTGCTTTAATTCTTCAGATTTACAAAACAAGGCATTGGCCAGGGCAAGACCCGAATCACTACCAAACCAAATCTGATCTTCCTTTGCCTTTACTACAAAGGTTTTCCTTGTAATAATGACTTTATGTCACTCAGGAAATAGCCCTCAGACCCCAGCAAAACCAATAGCAGCCAGGTGAAGTGAGGTCCAAGTGCCCACCCTCAGCACCATCAGCGGTGACACAGCAGCCACGTGCGCCCCTGGCCCAGCGCTGCGCTTGGTGCTTTATGCCTGGGTGTGTACCCGTCTCTCTCTCTAAATTTCCAGTTCCCACAGCAATCCCGAACACGGTGTTAGACATGTTCTTACACAGGGAGAAGCTGGGGTTTGTGCCCACGGTTACGAAGCTACATGGCAGAGTGGATTCAAACCTGCTTCTCTCTGATTCCCAAGAGCTTTTTACTGCACATTCCCTGGGTCATCAACAAAGGGACAGGCTGGAACCAGAGTCAATCAGGATTGGGGGTGGGGAGAGCACCACACTTGTTTCATTCATTCATTCATTCACTCATTCATTCAACAAATACATATTGAGCGCCTCTGTATGTCAGATGAAAGAAACACATTCAATGGATAAAGCTGTGGAAGAGCTACAGGAATCGGAGCATGAGGAGCTGGGGTGGGGTTGAGGTTCAAGTTCGCTAGAGCAGCACAGGGTCAGCTGACAGACCAGCAGCAGGACGAAGGGGGCCCCGGGAACAGGGCACAGGTAAACTCACTCACCTGCCCAGCATGCCCACTTCTCCTTGGGGATTTAAAGATTAACTTTTCCCCCAAACATTCCCATCATAACTATTTGGCCTAGATTTTTTCAGCAGTAGATGTAAAATACTGCACTTGTAAGAAAGATCTTCGGTTTTGGAACCAGAAATACCTAAGGTGGGACTCCAGCTCTCCCACTCCCCAGCCATTTCAACACTCTGTGGATTGGTTTCCTCATCTGTAATTCCTGTCTCCAGCTCTTGTGAGAATGAAATCATATTTACCGAGAATACAGCACCCCTTTCCCTTTTATCCACTTCAATTTCCTGAGTTATTCCTCAGAAAGCAAGATAATTAATCAATAATCAATCACAAAGCAATCTTAAAATATGGTATTGTAAACCCCAGATCAATATAACTTTTCTTAAATTATATAATCCAGTTGGTTTGTTTCTAACAAGTACCTGTGCTTGGATCGATGTGAGGCAAATCAAACATTTCTCGTTAGGAACAGCTCCTGTTGATATTTTATAAATCTCTTTCATGACAAAATCACGTGGGTTTCCTTGTCAGACTTCCTGAAAATAGCTGGCATTGTGGGTCCTGAGCCTTCCCCTACCCAAACAAGATATTTAATTCGTATTTGCAGCCTGGCCGGTGTGGCTCAGTGGTTGAGCGCCCACCTATGAACCAGGAGGTCAGGGTTCAATTCCCGGTCAGGGCACATGCCCGGGTTGCGGGCTCCATCCCCAGTGTGGGGCGTGCAGGAAGCAGCCAATCAACGATTCTCTCTCATCACTGATGTTTCTCTCTCTCCCTCTTCCTTCCTCTCTGAGATCAATAATTAGTATTGATAAGAAGGAGCACGTGTCAGAGAGTTCTCAGTGGCTATAGGAGCCCCTGCCTGCCTGTGGGCAGGAGAACTGGAGTCATAAGCCTCCGGGTTGCCCCAAAGACCCGGGGATGGGGATTCTATCGCTAAGCCAGCTCGCTGATGGAGGAACCCCAGGCAGGGCTCAGAGCGATCACATGCTCTGATCCACCCAGAAACGTTTCTGAATGAGACGCCTAAGTCAGTAGATGAGCTGCTGGGCCATACTGCGTGGTCTGTGCAGATCGAAGTGAGTTTCAGACAAACACAGAAGGGAAGCTACCCAGGTAACTTTCTCCTTAGGTTATAGTGTAATGTGACATTTGATATCTAGCTAATTGCGTGAATGTTGCCGTCGAGGGTTCAGTTCAAAGGATGCTGTCCAATAGCGCTCATTTACCAGAGGGAACCTCTGCTCAAACAGGTCAAATAGACTTCTCTGAGGTTACACTTCTTGTCAGAGCTGAGATGGGAACTCAGGCTTTATACAATGTGGAATACAAAACCATTCATTCATTGAGATAATCCAATTAGAAAGTGTGCAGAAAAAATTCAATAAGATCCCAGTCAGTGGGCTTCTAAAAGAGTAGTGTACATATCAAATGCACAGTGCCTGGCTTATTAAAATAAAATACTTCTAGAAAGAGAAGGAAAGGATGGCTTTAGTCTATTTATTTCAAAGTATCACCTTCCATTTTATAGATACACATTCCAACTATTATTATTTGACCTAAAGATGGCTTTTGTGTGTGCATAGCTAAAGAGAACTGTGATAATGGATGGAAATGTTACACATAACAACATAAAACTTGGAAACTGCTTGACTCATCTGCATCCTTTGTTACAAGGGTTGCCATCTTGACCTTTGTGTTGTGAAATTTCCTAGTTTTCAATCCTAACCATTAAAAAAGTCAAATAACAGCACAGATTCATAACTATGAAAAGAACACCCAGGTGTCTCTATGGACGACTAAGAAGATGTTCATACAGAGAAAATATTTTCCCAGGAAATATATCACCACACACAGGAGTGCCCCCTTATCCATGGGGATATGGCCCAAGACCCCAGTGGATGCTTGAAAAATCTGTTTCTTCGTGCACATTCAGACCTTTGATAAAATTTAATTTATAAACTGGGCACAGTAAGAGATGAACAGGAACTAATAATAAAATAGAGTAACTATAACAATAGACTATAGTAAGAGCCACATGACTGTGGTCTCTCTCACTCTTCCAACCTCTCGGAATACCTTATTATCCCGTGCTCCCGCTTTCTCTTAAAGGGAGCACTTCGGACTTCTCTGTGGCGTGTCCGGTTGCCAGCAGCACTAGTTGGGTGCTTTAAGACCATCATTAAGTAAAATGAAGGTGACTGCCCAGCCGGTGTGGCTCAGTGGTTGAGCATCGACCTAGGAGCCAGGAGGTCAAGGTTTGATTCCCCGTCAGGGCACACGCCCAGGTTATGGGTTCGGTCCCCAGTGTGGGGCGTGCAGGAGGCAGCCGATCCATGATTCACTCTCATCATTGATGTCTCTCTCTCTCTTCCCCCCCTTCCTTCCCCTCTGAAATCAATAAAAATATATATGTAAAAAAAAAAAGAGTAAAACTATGAACAAGGGGGACTACTGTATCTAATTTTGACATTCGACTGTAAAATAGTGGAAATGCTGTGCTTTAAAGAAAAATTACAGAATTTAAACAAACAGTACATCATATCACCTACCTGCTCTTTTGAGAGATTTGTTCCAGTTTCTTGGCTAACGTACAGCACTCTTCCTTTAACTTTGTCAAAAATGCATTCTGGGAGGTCAGCAATGAATACTGTTCGCTTTCTAGAAATAACAATAACCCCCCACCAACATAAGATGTTTATGGCTGTAGCTCTGCAGTGCTTCCATATGTAGAGTGTAAACACGCTAAGACGCTACCCACGTCCCATATGTTACGAGGTCACGTTCCATGTCCTCAGTCAAAGGGCTGCTCACCTGGTGAGACTCTGAATCTTGCGAGACATTTATTTTTCGAATAATTACTCATCAGAAACATTTTTGATCACACCAGCGTGGTGTAACATTTCAACATGTTACTAGATTACCCAATACCCCAGCGAAGTCATATATGCTTATATCTTGTAATATGCAAGATATGATATTTTTATTTGGACAATTTTACTATAAAGTGTCAACAATTATTACAATCAGATAACTCAAAGCTGAGGTATTGAGGAACTCTCTTCTATGCTGTCATTCATGCTTGATGTTTCGTGTCTGCCTGCATATTTCATTACCCACCCTGCCAACCTTGCATATCCCTTGCTCATTATGAAGGTGAAATATGTCATCTCATTTCACCATCAACAGTATGAGCCTCAATGAAGATCTGGTCAAAGAGATTGAAGAGAGTGTGGTATCTTTGTGCAACGTAAGAGGAAGTGTTGTTAAGATGGTCCTACAGTTACATAATCTTATCTTGCTCGGGGATCGGCCCAACTCCATGATCACGAGGATCCTGCTAGCAGTGGAGGCAAACAATAACTTAGCCTCTAATTTCCTCCTTTTTTCTTTTCATGGAAAACATCTAGTAAGTCTGGCGAATTTTCATTTTTTTTCGTGACAAATTCTAGTAGGAGAAAGTCTCTAATAAAGTTGCTGGAGGAAATTACGTGACTCAATACAACGTTTGCCTCTTCCTAAGTAAAGAGATTATTTAATGAATGGCTAACGTTTCATCTTAGAATGTGCGGTAAATTTTGACCACACCATCAAATCCAGTGGGCATTAAATCAGGTGAAAATCACCTTTAAGTGCGAGGCTCCCGAAGGCCCTTTATTTCTTTTCCCTTGTAGCAGAAAGCACTTACAGCACAATAAATCAAAGCACTGGAAAGTAAGCCACATTTTTCTGCAAGAGGCGGATCAATGAAACTTTTGTTTTACCGGGACGATCAGCCTGGAGGATGTGGCGTGGAATCATAATGAGTTGCCACAGCCCTGTTGTGACTAACACTGTCTGCGAACGCACGACTCAGAAGTGCAAAGACCCACAGCCCGCCCCGACTGCACAAACCCAACTGCCTGTTTCAAAGGGCATTTTACTTTCAAATGAAAGGTAAGGAGTTGCTGGCCAACTCGGCCTGCAGAACAGCGCCAACGCGATGAAAGATGGCAATTTTTAGCCAAGCTGCCAGCTGTGGTCAATGCCTTGTATTAGTGAATTTCAACAGCAGTTGGGAGAACTTGAAGAATGCCACGGATTACACATCACCCGCAACTGGGCTGGGGGGCAGGCGGGGGCGGCGTCCAAATGCTAAAAATGTTCGAAGCTGCAAAGATTAAATAAAGGAACGTATCCATTTGGAGCCGCTGAATGACATCCAGCTGCGACAGTGAATTAAGAACCGATTAATGGCGAAAGCTTTTCTCCAGTTTGGATGCGGAAGCAGACTCATTAGGCTCTTAGAGGCGCTGTAATGCGTGTTCTGTGGGAGCCGTTCCGTGCTATTCAGGAGGCTTTAACGGGGAGCTCGGAGCGCTTCCCGCAGAGTTCGGATGCTATTTTCTTTCTGTAACATGTGTGCCCGCGAACCCAGCCAAAAACAAGCCCTTTGTTTTTCTACTTTGTTGTGGTCCCTCTCAGCTCTCCGTTCCTTGCACACAGGTAAATAAACTCATAATCCAGATGGTGCAGCAGATGTGAGAGCAGCACTCCGAAATCAACAGACAGTGGGCACTGCTTCCACTCTCCCTTTTAAACGCTAACTAATATGTAATTCGGAATCTCCGGTGTAGTTAGCATCTGCTCCCTTCGGCCAGCCAAAGGTTACAGGTGTTTCTGATGTCATTTCACAGTGAGGCGTGGGCCTGGCTGGCGGGTGCGGGCCCCGCGCTGCCCCCCTCGCCCCCCACCTACCGGTCCTGTCATGCTGGGCCTCCATTTGCTGCATCTTCTGTGTCAGCTCCTGCTCCCTTTGCTGGGCCTGAAGGGCTTGGGCCTTTGCCTCGCTGCTGAAGCTCTGCTGAATGGTCTCTTTTTCCAGTCTGCGAGGCAGGGAGGAGACAGAAGTTAATCCACAGATGCGCGCACCCCCATTCCTTCCCCACGGGCCACAGGGAGCTGAGACGCAGTAAATTGTTCAGCATAAGAAACAACAGTCTTTCCACTCCCTCCCTCCCCCCGCAATTAGGGGAAAATCCAAAGGACCTTTCACACAATGTGAAGTACATCCCGTCCATCCAAGTGGACTCAGGACTCAACTTTCCACGTCAAAAAATCGTGACGGCTGAGGGATGGTAGTTTGTAACCTTGAAACACAAACACCTTCTGCTGTAACTTTTCCTTGAATCCTCACCCGGGGATATTTTCCCATTGATTTTTAAAGAGAGTGGACGAGAGGGAAAGGCAGAGAGAAATATCGATGTGAGAGAAACATCAACTGGTTGCCTCTTGCACGAGCCCCGACCAGGGCCCAGGCTGGGGAGGAGCCTGCAACCGAGGTACATGCCCTTGACCGGAATCGAACCCAGGACCCTTCGGTCCGTAGGCCGACGCTCTATCCACTGAGCCACACTGGCCAGGGCTGCTGTAACATTCTTCATGTTTTGTGGCCCTGGTGAGTCTTTTATCTGGTGACTGGTTACTATTTCCCAAAGGTCCTGGAGCTAAAGGAGCAGCCCAGACTGGAATTCTGGAAACGAAGCTTTGCAGGCCACTTCTACTTCCCTCCCAAATGAAAATGGAATCTCAAATGTAACAGCAGAGCTTCTATCTAGAGGCAAGTAAAGGATGTGCATGTTCTGTGGAATATTTTCACATATCAGCCATGTCATGTGAACATGTATGAAATGAGTAACTTGCCAGCACTTCATCATAGAAGTCCCTGTGGGTCACACGGAGAGAAACTGCAGATAAGATGCTTTCTATACTATAAAGACCATCGCCCATCCCCCTGTGATTGGATGGACACACTGGGCCCAATGGTCACTCTCCAATCACAGTGGCTCCTAAAGAGAGAAACTTCCTGAACTAGAACCTGAGGATGCAAAGGACTTCATTGCAGGAGGCACTGTGGATGCTGACACTGTGCGTGCGTACACACACACACACACACACACACACGTGTGCTCACATATACACACGCTCACACACTGCTCACACACATGCTTACATACACATACACACCCAAGCTCACATACACATACTCACACATGATTTCACACACACACACATATGCTCACACACACATATACTCACACACACTCACATACACATGCTCACACACACACATGCTCACACACTCACACACATGCTCACACACATGCTCACACACATACACACATGCTCACACACTCACACACATGCTCACACACATGCTCACACACATACACACATGCTCACACACTCACACACATGCTCACACTCACACACATGCTCACACAAGCTCACACACATGCTCACGCACTCACACACATGCTCACACACACATGCTCACACTCACACACATGCTCACACAAGCTCACACACATGCTCACGCACTCACACACATGCTCACACTCACACACATGCTCACACAAGCTCACACACATGCTCACGCACTCACCACACATGCTCACACTCACACACATGCTCACACAAGCTCACACACATGCTCACACACTCACACACATGCTCACACTCACACACATGCTCACACAAGCTCACACACATGCTCACGCACTCACACACATGCTCACACACACATGCTCACACACTCACACACATGCTCACACAAGCTCACACACATGCTCACGCACTCACACACATGCTCACACACACATGCTCACACACACACTCAATACACACACATGCTCACACACATACACACATGCTCACACACATACACACATGCTCACACTCACACACATGCTCACACAAGCTCACACACATGCTCACGCACTCACACACATGCTCACACACACATGCTCACACACTCACACACATGCTCACACACACATGCTCACACACTCACACACATGCTCACACAAGCTCACACACATGCTCACACACATGCTCACACACACATGCTCACACACTCACACACATGCTCACACACACATGCTCACACACTCACACACATGCTCACACACATGCTCACACACATGCTCACACACATGCTCTCACACACATGCTCACACAAGCTCACACACATGCTCACATACACACTCACATGCTCACATGCACACACACACACATTAGGTTGGTTCTTCATACTCTAAATCTGGGTGAGTGAGATGAGGGTTTCCTTCAATTAACCAACTTAGCTCTTGCTAACGCCGATCCGCTTGCGGGCACTTCTCCTCCATGCTGCTTCAGTTTACTAACTGCGATATTGACGGCCTTGCCTTTGCCAAACTGAAAATAAACAATTGCATAAAGCGATCTCTACTGGCGTATGTACCGCTGTGGTACCTCCATTCACTGGCTTCTAATTATAGAGCAACATAAGGAAAGCCTGCATCGAGGCCGGTCAGCGCGGGTGGCAATGTGGTGGTGGAAAATTCCAGAAGGAAAATACACCCACACCTCACTCAAGCAGAATCACCAGGCGTCCTCCCTAATGTGAGGAGGGTCCCTTCCGGTGTTTCGAGTGACAACACCCCCTTGGGTTCGCTCCAAGGCCTTGCCTCGCGCTCAGTTCCAAACTCCTATATTTAACAAATGGACAGATGAGGCCATGCTTTCCTCCTCAGTCACACCATGGGCTTTCCGGCCATGGATCACTGCACGCGTCTCTCTGTTTTCCTGGGCTCTCTCCCCACAGGCCTTTCTCACCCCCCATCCCAGCCCCTGGCCCCCGCTCAGTGTACGTCACTCCTTCAAGCCTGCTCGGAATTCTCCCCTCTCCGTCCATTGTAATCTAGTGAACTATACCCTGTCTTCAGTGTCCTCATATATGTTGTGCGTGCAGACATCCCCCTAAGGCAGCCTTTATCGCACTTCCGTTACTGCTCTACACATCTGCCTTCTTTGTCATCCTTGTCTCTCTGTCCCTGAGCCCAGCTCAGTCCTTGGCACATGGCACCTAGGAAATGGGCAGTGACTGTTCCATGAATGAATGTCCTTCTGCCCTGAGCACAGGGGGAGGCAGCTGCAGTCTTGAAGGGAAGCTGGGGACCTGCTCGAGTCTTAGATGAGGAGGCAAACACTCCGTTAGACAGTGGCTGGAAGAGGCGTCTCTCATGGCAGCTGGGGCTGACGCTGCTGAGAGCATTGTGGGCTCTCACTGAGTCAGATCCCCACGTCAGACCCGCCTTAGAGCTGGGGGTACAGGCAGGGAGACCTGGACTCTGTGATCCCTAATAACTGGGTGACCATAAGATGCGTTGTTAAAACCAATACCCACTGGAGGGGGGAAGGGCAGGATTAAGCATTACACAGAGACAACAGTCATATCGGAACTCCCCTTTGCAAACTGGGGCTGTGTTTCCCTTCACAAAGGGGTTGCCAGTCTCCCATCAATGTCTGGAATGAGAAGGTGCCTAAGTACTGAAATCCGAAATTCAATGCAGAACAGGAACCATGATTACTGTGGGTCTCCCAATAAAACAATCTAAAGGAACACTCCACCCACAAATGCTGAGTTCACATAAACTTTTGTTTCTTAAATCCTTGTCCAATGTTCACTCTATTTGAAAAAACTACACCTTTTATTTTTCATGGCAGAAAACTTGGCACATTTTTGCTTTCCAACCTCCTTCTTCTCCCTTCCTTCCATGTTGCCTTCTCCCCTTGCAGGTTTGTTCCGACTTAGCAGATTTTTTATAAAACCTTAAAATGCGAGAATTGAAAGGGAATCTCAAATCTGTTTAATCAAATCCTGTCACGTTATAGTTGAAAATAAAAGAGGATCCTAAATAATTCAAAATCTGCTCAAAGGTCACGTTGTAAGTGATGTAAAGGCAGAGGTGAGATTGAAATATTTTGATTTAGGAAAACCTATTTTTTTAAAATATATTTTTATTGATTTCAGAGAGGAAGGGAGATGGAAAGAGAGAAACATCAATGATGAGAAAGAATCATTGGTTGGCTGCCTCTCGCATGCTCCCTACTGGGGATGGAGCCCACAACCGGCACATGCCCTGACCAGGAATCGAACCATGACTTCCAGGTTCATAGGTCAACCTCCCGGTTCATAGGTCGACGCTCAACCATTGACCCATGCTGGCTGGGCGGGAAACCATTTTATAACACTCTAGGAGTAATGCATTAATGGATTGAAAGAATAAAAAACAAATAAGTTAGGCATCCAAGGAAGAAATTATAGAAAATTTAAATGAATTCATTTAATATTTATTGTGACTCTATTATGTGAAAGATACTCTACTAGGCACTGGGTCAAATAAAGGTAAATATGGCGTAGTTCTTATCCTAAAAGGACTACAGAGAGAAGGTAGGAGAGAAATACACTACAATAAAGGCAATAGGGGAAAACCACCAAAACATAGAGAAATGGGAGGTTATTTCCAGCTGCGGTTTGAGCGGCTCATGAAGAAGAGCTGTCAGTCCTCCCGACTGATTTTCATTCAGTCCTCAGACACGGGTGATCTCATTTAACCAGACTTGTGGTTGCCCCTATTTCACCAATCAGAACGAAAGCAGGGGGGGGCAAAGAATTTCTTTGTTGTTGTTAAAATGAGACTGAAAGATTTATTCATAATCGCTAAGAACTGGAAACAACCTAAATATCCACTAAGTGCTAAATGGATAAACAAAGTGTGGTAGAGACTCACAACTGAACACTCGCCATAGCAGCAACACAAAGGGACAAGCTATGAGAACCGACAGCACATGGATGAGCCTCAAAAGCATATCCTTAAAGAACCCAGGCACCAAAGATGTCTTGTAGGGTTTCACTTATATGACATTCCAGAAAATTACACCTGGAGTGACAGATTGCATTGCCAGGACCCGAGACAGGGGACGGGCACCAGGGAACCTTTTGTGCTGATAGAAATGTTCAGTATTGTGATTATAATGGTCAAAAATGTGCAATCTGTCAAAA